CAGTTTTATTTATATGCACATGATTTATTTTAGAAGCAAATGTTTGTGTTAGTGTATTAAAGTATCTTAAAGAGTTAGTATTGTGTGTATATAATGGTCGAGTGAGCTTCTTAGCATAATATTGTATAGGTGTAGGTGTAGGGGTGTATGTGAGTGTACAGTGTGTGAGTAAATACAACAACAGTTGGGCGTGTTCTTCAGATACATTTTGTGGGTAATAATAACAAATTTGGATTAAGTTATCTCTTCTGTTGCATTCTTTTTTGAGTCTATCAATTTCCAATAATGCATCAACATATTTTTGTGAAAGAAATTCCATTGACTTATGAATCTCCTCATTCTGTGATCTAATCTCGGCGTTCTGAGTGCTGATCGATTGATTTTGTAGTCGTATATCATCAATAGATGTTTTTAATAAGTCAATTTTAGTGTTTTGTTGCGATTGTTGAGAAACTAACTCGGAAAACATTGACTTCATTTCTAACATCATTTCCTCTAGACGACTGATGTCTGCCTCGTCCCGTTTTCTTTTCCTTTGGTTAACGTTTAAAATATCAGATTGTGCATCAGAATGCGATAACAAGTTCGGATCTGAATTATATAGTACGGCAGACGGGGTATTGGGAGGTGTTCTCTTCAACATTTTTATAAAATACTCAATATAAATAAATGTAGAAACTATTCTTGCTTTCACATACACACACTGTATCGTTTGATCCGTTTATCTTTGTGAAATACACACAATAAATAGGTAGTTGTTATGATTGATTCACTTTGCGAGCGATCGTTATTTAGGCAGCACTTTTTTTTTAAGTAGGTAGGTAGTCAATAATAGTGATAATAACTCACGCGCATCGCCTTACGCTTCGAAGATATTTATCAATCTGTATTTACGGTAAATACTTTTCACAGGTTTTAGATATCGAAAAACTGTTTACACCACAAGCTTATCAATACTTTTAGCTTTAAGAATGTGTAATAGATACACTAAACAATAATGATTTATTGGTCAAAAAAGATTAATTTAACGGAGCAACAACAAAAACACTGTTTACTTGACGAACGTCGCGAGCGGGGGGATACTCTTTACTTATAGTCCGATCAATTTAGACATTCAAAGGTGCATAAATTCCCATCAAGCTGAAAGTGAGTACAGTAAAATAATAAAAAATAAGCTATCAAAAATCCCCATCGTTCCGGTACATGGAAAATAAAATAATCATGACCAAAGGTAAAAAAAATATATCTAAAATACATTTGAAGTCGGTATCATGCCAACCTTAGCAATAAATGGTAGGTAACTCAAATCTATCAACATGCATAGTACTAGAGGAATGTAATTAAAAGAAAGTCTTCTAGAGCCTCAATCTTTATTTAATATTAACACACAAGTGGCCTGCCCTCGCTTCGCGTTGGTATGGAGTAGACTACAGTTTTTTGTTCTTATATAGGTACCAGGTCACTCAGAAAGTTTTGAAAAAAAAGTTTTTATGTATAAGTTACTGGCTATAATTATTTTCAAAACTTCGATTATTTAAAAGTAAAAATACCACTGTTCTATTTTCAAATTTCTCTCCGCATTTTATCGAGAGCCAATTAAATTTTTCTTGTCTCATTAAAAAAATGGATCGAGAACATTTTCGTGCTATGATTTTTTACGATTTTGAATGTGGCTTAAAACCTGATGAGTCATTTGATCGAATTCGAACTGCTTCTAAGGATGAAGGACCTTCAAAAGCAACCATTTAACGCTGGTATAGCGAGTTCAAACGCGGTCGTCTTACTTTGGGGAAAGAACAAAAGAGTGGTCGTCCTTCGACGGCTGTCACCGAAGAAAGTGTGCTGGCAGTAAGAAATTTAATTCAAGAAAACAGAAGAATTACGTACGATGAGATTCAGCATACTCTACAGATTGGTTCAGGAAGTGTTCACAAGATTTTTTTTTTTGCATAAGGAAGATAGATTCCCGCTGGGTGCTGCACAACCTCACCGAAGCTCAGAAGCAGGCTCGTGTGGATTGGTGCAGTGATATGATACATAAGTTTGATGCAGGCTCGTCACGGCGTGTTTACAATATTGTGACAGGTGACAAATCCTGGATTTATCAATACAATCCAGAAACAAAGCGTCAGTCGACAATTTGGCTGTTTCAAAATGCACCAACACCTACGAAAGTGAAGCGATCGAGGAGCGCAGGGAAAATTTTGTTCACTTTGATGGGTACCTAATTTGAATACCACTTCGAGACCAAAGCAGCATCAACGCCGAATGGTATAACACAAAATGCCTGCCAGAAGTTTTTTCTGCAATGAGTAACAAGCGACCTAACACCGGGCTCCGTCTTCACCACGATAACGCGCCCGCGCACTCTGTGATAAAACCGAAGGACTTCCTGGACTCCACACCAGTTAGAGTCTTGGGATACCCTCCTTACATTCCTGATTTGGCTCCGTGTTACTTTTTATTCCCTAAAATAAGAAATCGGCTCAAAGGGATACAGTTTCCATCACCGGAAGAAGCGCTAGCAGCGTTTGAGAAGGCCGTGGAAGAGGTGTCTGCGGAGGACTGGAAAAAATCTTTTGAAAATTGGTTCAGACGCATGAAACTTTGTATAAAGGCTGGTGGAGAGTTCTTTGAAAAGATTAAATACTTTTTTTCTTAGCAGTTAGTTTTTTAGTTTCTCGAAACTTACTGAGTGTCCCAAATATAGCTTTATGACACTCCCGAATTACGTGGCTTTATACTGGTAAAAGAATTTCCAACATCGGTGCTGTAGATCCAGACATTACCCCTTAGCACCTCACAATCACAAACTTTACCTCTGTATAATATTAGCTGTATAATGCTGATATAAATTTAAAATAAAACAGCGAAATTAAAAGCAGAAGATGGTGACTTTTCCGATGCAAAATGTAAAAACGGTTACCTGGGTTAGTGGTAAAATTGTGGGCTACCTACAATGCGAAGAGATGGCGCTGCCTTTCAGCCTAAGGCTAGAGAAAATTCGACACCGTCATCAGGGCCGTGGTAGCATAATGGTCAGTGCATTCGCCCGGATAGCGAAGGGTCTGCTGCCTGGTGCGCGTGGATTTTTTTCTAGTCAAAGGAGATTGGTCAAATTGGCCTAAATGCAAATAAAATATTGACATATACAGTAATTCTTGGCGTAATTTATACTTTATTTTACAGTCATTAGATTTTAACGGTCACCTTTAAATAATATATTAATTTTAAAAAAGGACTTCTATTTTTACCGGTTTGGAAAACATACGAATCATTTTTATTGGCTATGGGTGTAGTAACATTCACAAAGACTGATCGGGGTTGTTTATATAACATCAAAACAAATCTATTTTGTAAAGATTGATAAAATATATTTTTTATTACACTGTGGTATTAATATCCACAACTTTATTATCATTTTTACTACATGCAAATGTGCTAAGACAATTAATATAGATGGTAGGAGACATCACAAAGTCTATTGCCGTACATTTTTCGCCAAACACCTAAATAAACACATTATAAGGTGTGATACACTAAGAATCTAAAATATGGTTATAATAAAAACATAACAAAAATAATGAAGCTACTGAAGATATGGCTGTATAACCTACAGCTCTTAGCTTTCTTTGATTAACGAGAGTTTAAAAATTCTCTCTAATCTGTGACTCATTCACAATCATCACACAGTTTCTGTTCGTGTTTGTGATCTTGTTCTTTCTCTGCTTATCAACGGTTTTCATTGTGATTTCGAATTTTTACCTTTACTCGGCTTTTCCAACGGACTTGATATATAGTATTAAAATAGATGATATGTAATATTAAACGCAACATAAAAGTACTTAAGTTGTTTTATTTCATTAATTTACCTTATCAGAATATTTAAGCTATGTCAGGAATATACATATTTCACACATTGATCAGAACTAGCATTAACCTACGCAATACATTATTACATTAGAATTACCTTTTACCATTATAAACCTAATTATAACTAAGAAAATATCCTATTGTTTTTTATAAAATTATGATAACAGTTCCATGTTTCTCATAACATAGGTAAGCAGGTACTTAAAACTTACTCTTGTGCATTAATTTTAAAAACAGGCAATTATCTGTTATTTTACATGCTCTATATACCTGAATCTAATACTTAATATCGGTACTTGGCTTGATTGCCCTATTTTCCTATATAAGTTATTTGGTTTTTATTATTCTAATACCTATGTGCCTATTTGCAAACATAACCTCAAAATCATTCAGTGTATATGGTTTATAGAAGTTCTCAGGAGTGGCCGTCGATAATATTCTTTTCTACGGTAATTTATATATAATTTCGAATCTAGGAAACAATTTTTCATGGTTATTGGTTTTTAGGCCAAACATGTATGGAAGCTGAGCAATCTCCTTTTCTTAACATTTAAACATCTAGCAGTTAAACGCTTAAAAATAAGCGTTTAACTGCTAGATGTATGTATATGATGTATTATAACTAAAAACGGATTCTAGACTGTAGCATTAATACACAGTTCATCATAGCGAGAACCTATACGTTCATTATACACACTAATACTACTTGATTATCCATATTTTGTCCATCAGAAAATAAATAAGGCCTGGCGGCCCTGAGATCATGGCCTTTTAAGTTTCGTTAGATTAGGTACAACGAAATTTTGTAAATTCTTTGGTGGGGTAGAATTTTAAAAATATATTAAAAATAATTAACCACTTCCAGCTAACTGCTACTTAATTTTAATTCATAAAAAAAAGGTCTTAGTCTGAACGACAAATCAAACTATTAGGTATAAGATTTTTTTTTGTTTCTCATTGTGTTGCTCGCTAACATTACGTAGCCTTTTCCACAAACTATGATTTCGGTGTGAATGCACCATAATGATTCAACAATAAACCGTCTGGGGAAACCCGGGTGCACTGAAAAATGCAGTGGCTTGTTGCACGAAGGCGCGACGACCCCACGCATGCGCAGTTACCCTCATCGATTTTTCTCCGATTTGACAGTTCCATCTATGTTTTCAATGTTTTGAGAAAGCCCCTAGCGCTAGCCACAACAAAGTAAACAAAAAATGGCTTTAGACTTTTCTGCTACGTATAAGCTTTTAGTTTTAGGAGATTCTAACGTAGGAAAAACATGTATCGTGCACAGATATTGCGACGAAAGATATTACGATATTTACATATCCACTATAGGTGAGTAAAATTATCTTTCTTAAATGTAGGGTTCTTTGTGATGAAGCTGGTTTTGTTGATTTTCCTTTGAAAAATATTATGTTCATACAATAGATATTTACTTTGGCATTAGCTTGTAATTTAGTTCAATTCTTGCTTTTGATATTTTTTTTATACTTAGATATAAGAAAAGATTTATCAATTTAATTACCTACTCTTCTAAAAGGGAACATTAATAAATTTTGGATTCATAAAGATTGTTATTGTAGCTGATGATATATATAATATATATACATATATAATATATATATCTTTATATATATAATTCTTCTGTGAGTGTGTATGTCACTGAACTTCTCTTAAACGACTGGACCGATTTTGATGAAATTTTTTGTGTGTGTTCAAGGGGATCTGAGAATGGTTTAGATTCACAATTTTGTCCGCTGGACAACCCCTATTTTTTTAGGGCGGTACGAAGTTCGCTGGGTCAGCTAGTATCTTTATATATATAATTCTTCTGTGGGTGTGTATGTCACTGAACTTCTCTTAAACGACTGGACCGATTTTGATGAAATTTTTTGTGTGTGTTCAAGGGGATCTGAGAATGGTTTAGATTCACAATTTTGTCCGCTGGACAACCCCTATTTTTTTAGGGCGGTACGAAGTTCGCTGGGTCAGCTAGTCTTTATATATATAACATGCCTTTAATTTTTTGAGTCCTTATAATACCTAACTGTTTTCCAACTCTATTAATGGTATGTTTTATAACTTTCAGGCATAGATTTTAAACAGAAGATCATTAACCTTGATGGTGTACCAATAAAGCTTCAAATATGGGACACAGCTGGACAAGAGAGGTTTCGAACCCTAACTACAGCTTATTACAGAGGAGCGATGGGGATTATTTTGATGTATGACATCACCAACCTTGAATCTTTTAACCACCTCTCCTACTGGCTAAGGAACATTCAAGAGGTACGCAATATTGTTTTCAAAATAGATTAATCTTATTTAACTGTAAGTTAAAATAAGGAAAATATCACTGTAAGTGTTTGAAGATATACGTGATAGAGAAGTATAATCCGGTTTTCATGGTGTCGCCTGCTACCAAGGTTCTGGGTTCGTATTCCGACCGGGCAAATGTTTGTATAATGTATACATCATACAAACATGGGCACGAGCATTGATTTGGACACCTGAGTGATAGCTGTTTCTAAATACTAGTAACTTTTGCCTGCAGCTTCGCTGGCGTTAGATTGGATTTCTAGTGAACGAATGAATGTCAATCGATTGGTACTCTATACAAACTTTGATCCCTGTTTTACCCGTTTAAGAGGTGATTTTTGGCAAACCCTTTCTTAGATCATAAAAGCTATAGGTATGTTTGCCAAACAGCGCAATCCTTCAGTGGTTTGAGTTGACCTGTGTGTTGATAAATTACGCACCTGCGTCTACACCCCTGAATGTAAATAAGTATCATTTTTAGGTCACTCAACTCAGATATTTCAATTTCTTCAAGTTACTTTTAGTGTAAGTTTATGTTCATAAAAAAGTATTTTCGGCGTATCGAATGAATGAAATAATATTTCAGAAAATATTATAGGCATTCTTTTAAGTTTCATTCATCTTATGATATAAAATCAGTCCTCAGTCTGAAAATTACAGGGGTAGGCACTACCTATATAACTCCATTTTTTAACTTACTTGGATTTTAAAAGTTGCAAATGCATATAAATTGCTAAAAAGAACCAAATCAATACATCCCATATCCCATAATTTTCGAAACAAAAGAGAACTAATTAGATACTCCAAGGTACTTATAAACATCCTCACCAAATGTTCAGAGCGCAGTTTCTGAACTCCGATAGATATTCAAGATACTCATGACTTGCAGGAGACTGTCAAAACTAAATGAGTACTTTCCTCTGTGATTTCAGTACGCTTCCCCGGATGTAATCAAAGTTCTTGTTGGTAACAAATGCGATGTCCACGAAAATCATAGAGCAGTTCCCAAAGAGAGAGGACAAAAGGTTTGTAGTTTGTACCTATAAATCGCTATCATTTAAAAAGATATAGTTACAACTAGTTTTCTACAGTCAGATTTTAAGAGTTAGGCCGTATTGGATTATTCGCTCTCCCGTTAGGGAAAGTAATTTCCACCTTTACAGAAAATCACAGTGAAATGACATTTAGATGGTGTTTTGTTTCTGTTAGTAAGGTTTCGGGATTCTACGGTAGGGGATTGGGTTCAGAACCACAATGTGGAGATTGCTGGAGCGGCATTCTTTTCTGCCGCAACGCAACTGGACTCTAGATACACTTAACACCAGAAGGAATTAGGGTAAACGTCGAGAATTGCACGATCTAAATTTATTAGTAGTCCGTCTGTAGGATTATCAAAAAATAATGGACCCTTTTTTTTCTTTTGTTAATCAACTAAAAAAGTGCTAAGATAAAGTTGGAGAGTGAGGATCGTGACGTCACTACTACGTAAAAATTTACGTCATGCGACATTTCAAATCAATAAGTATTATCTTTGTTTTTTTTTATTAAGTGAATAATAAAAAAATGTGTCCAATACTTTTTGTATTTACCTGATAGACAAAGAATAAAAAAGTTAATACCCATCTCTATTTTAAAAAGTGTGCAGATATTTTGTTCAGCCATTGAAGCACGAAAAGGTTTTTGTTAGCTAATTTAGTACGTGGTCTGAACGTGCAAGAAGTCGAAAAATTGTTAATTTTTAAAATAAACAGGAGAGGCCCTAAAGTACTACCTTGACTTTAACCCAAGCTGACACCTGATCCCGTAAAGTAGTGTTCGGATAGCCTACCACTACAAGCCACATATTGACATCGGTCTCGTAGAGAAGGGGCGAAACATGACGGGTGCAGTGTGCAACCCATGCTAGTCAAGTTTGCTAGAAGGACCTAGTTATCCACCGTGTCAAAGGCCTTCCTAAACTCAAAATAAGCAACATAAACTTGGTTTTGAACCAGCATCCACCGTCAATAATTTACGATATGTGCCATAAAATCCAACTAGCCATCTTCATTTCATACCTTATAAAACTTATCTCTAATTTTCCTTTTTTCTTTCAGATAGCCGATGACTTCGATATGCCCTTCTTCGAGGTATCTTGTAAGAGCAATATTAATATAGAGGAAGCATTTCTGACGCTAGCCAGGAAAATTAGGGAATATAGAGAGACTAAAGTAAGTAAAGAATATCAAGCGATTTAACCCATTCTATTAAAAACTGTCTAAGGAAGTTTGAGACTAAAGTTGTAAGATTATTTTTTTTACACACGCACGTTTGAATACGTTTTACCTACATCTTGCAGTTTACTATAGAGAAACAATGAAACCAAAAATAAAAAATACATATGTAATTAATCTTGAACGTTTTTTTCCAGGCGGATGCTTTCGAGCTTAAGGAGAGGGATAGTGTGATAAAGCCTTCAGAATCTGAAACAGACGTGTCAAAATGTAGCTGTTAGCTGACTTCAAATATCTCTAACAATGAAACGATAATAAATAATCACAACGGATTTAATAATTAAAAGTAGATATTCATACAAAATTAGCAATGTTACGATTTTGTTTATAATTACTACAAATATATAAGAAAAAGGATTTTTACCTACTAACGGCGAGTCAGTTACCATTTTATAGGTGTTATAGGACTGTATTTATTACTGGTCAGGTTTAGTGCTGTCATTACGTAAATAGCCAGACCAAAAATTAAACTTTTGGGTTAAATCGAGTTATTCAACCGTGGACACACAAAACATTTACCCTAACTCCTACCAGAGCCAAGACACAGCTGAAATAAAATCTTTTATTTATTTTACACCTTACATTAAATATTAATCTAAGTGTTACACCATTTTTCAGTAAAATGTTAGATGTTAGGTCTGACAAAAGACGAACAGGATCCACGGCTTTACAAATAAAATACTTAAAAAATAATTCGTAGTTCAAAAATATTATAACAAAAAATACAATAGTTGGATCCTGAGGTAGGATAGGATCAATCTGGAACTTTGCTGTTGATCGGAGTTTAAAAGGTAGCTATGATTGAGAAAATCGGGAAGTTGTATGAGCAAAATTAATAAAAGTAGAAATCAAAATTGATGCTTAGATTAAATCAAATCTAACTCTTAGGACGTTTAGAGTATGCCGAACAATCGCATTTTAGAGTTTATGCCACAGTTGAAATATAAAATTTTGTGCTTCATGCGTTATCTGTGTGCTACGAGTATATAGCGTGTAACAACTGTCGCAATTTCCGAATGCACCGCATTATTAATGTCGATAAGACAAACGTATTAGACTTTTATACCTTCTAATGTGTGAAGTTTCATTTTACTAAATGGCCATATATTAAGTAAGAGTGTTAATTTGGTTTACCTTGATTTATTTTGAAGGTATTTTTTTACACCAACTTAGAACAGTCAGGAGAGCCACCACCGCCAATCGGAACATAAATTTTACTTGCATATTATACTCATTTTTACTAAGACTAAAAATAAACTTAGATTTTGTACCCCAGCCAGGGTATGCGGGTAGATTATCAAAAATAATGTACTTAAAAGGTAAGTATAAATACGATATTCGAAGCTAGTAAAGTTAATGTGGTGATTGGAGGCGGTGGCGCTGCAGGGCTGGCTGACGTACACCAGTCCAACCTTCTAAACTTCATCGTATTTAATGCGTTAAGGATATGAACTTTCTAAAGATCTTCCTGGCACACTGGTAAAAATTAAATGATCTTTATTATATTGAGGGCTTTACAAGTAGCAGTAGGTGATAAGCGTTTGAAGACGATTCCATTGGTGGTACTAAGTTTCAGTGGGCCTATTTCTAGCACAATTCTCCAAGTCCTCCTTCCTTTTAGTAATTTATAAAGAATGGAGAGGCGAGATTGCTGTCACATGTAAGCAGTTTCGGTTCTCGAGAATCGTGCTAGAGTAAGTCCAGTGTAAGGAACTATTTCAGATATCTATAGCTCAAGCGATTCCAAGCGATCGAGCAAGTCCTAAACCACTTCTTTTATCGGTTTAACATGTACCACACATATTCTGTTAGAATTTACTTAAAAAAAACGAACTATTTAGTGCACACAGAAAGCGAACCGAACAGTTTGCTCAATGGGTAACATTTTTATTCATGTTGTTTTTAAATGCTGTAATTAAAGGAATGCATAGTTAGTTATGATTGAAGTTAGTCACTCAATTGTTAATCGTTGCGTATTACACCTTGGTCTCTAATGGCGATGCGGCTAAATACCAATTCTGATTGAAACTTAACAATATAATTTTGGAATACGACTGAACATAAATAACCGATAGTTATGTATATTTAATTAAATAGGAAAAATAGCTTTTGATTACGGCGATTAATAAAATATAATGTTATTAAGCGACGTTTATTATTATAATAAAAAAATGGTTGCCTGTAAAGTCGGTTTTACGGGCGAAGATTTTACGTGACAACGTCTTTTTCTCGGTAGAATATTTATTGATATGAATATAATTAAATTGCACAATAGGAACAAGGAATTGAATGAAAATAAGAATTGCACAAATTTTAACTATAGAAATATATTTTGTTTACTAAAACATTGTACATGTAAACTTAAACTTAACACGAGAGACTCATCGTAACGTTACCGAGCGTTACACTTTTTCGTAAGTGACTCCCAGCCGCAACCTAATTTAAGACGTTGTCACGTCAAAAATAACTGTGCTATTTACAATACGATGGCCAGAGCTAATTCTATTATAGATCATTGCATTAAAAAAATATTGCAAACTTGCCGAATAAGTAATTAATAATAGACTAATGCGCACTGTAATATCTAACGAATTTAAAATTACATAAGTACTACGAGTGTTGTTAAACGACGTACATATTTGTTAATAAATATTAAGTAACTTATAAAACTATCAAATATACAGGTTACAACTCATGCGATTACATTGGAGAAATTAAACATAAAACAGTAAGGTTAACACATATGTTAAAAAAATAAAACTTTTATACAGAATAATTCATAAGTACAACACGCGGTTCTCAAAATTAAACACTTATTTATATATGAAATAAGTAAGAAGTGGTGTTAATATTACCATATCTATCTAAATAACAAATATTTGAACGTATAGGTCGCTACAAACTTCTTGAGCAAAACCAGACAAATTAACTTGCAAAGTAGACGTTTATATACGAGAAATTGCTCATTCGCAGGTTTCCTTGTTTATGGTCGTTGCTCAAGAAGTTTGCCGAGATGTATAGATTCCACATCAAATCAAATCTTGCGATGCGATAAGTAGGGATGTGTACCTTCATTGCATTGCATTTCTTCATAAACTTTATACAACATTCATTGTAGAGTTTGAATCAATGTTATGTTGACAAATATGTTGGTTTGAAATCGGTGTGCTTAGCACTAAAACACGGGGCTGGTCCCTATAAATACTGCTGGACAGTAAAAAAATGATTATAAGTATCATATCATAAAGTCAAACTAATTTTGGAACTTAAAAATATTCATTAATTTTACCATAATTTACATAGTAACTGCAATACATAAATTAGTTTGATGAGAATAAAAATCAAAGCAACATAATTGCTAAGTACAATCAACTAAACAACAAGGTCCCACTTTATAGCAGTTTTAGAAAAATATGTTAAATTTGAAAGTGAATAAGTTTATAAAATAGGAAATTTAACAATTTTGTTAACTCTTGTGCTGTCAGCTGTACTTATCAAAACACAATGAAAATAAATAGTTTGATACATTTTAACGGTTAATAATGTAATAACTTTTAAATAAATAAGGCTTACCATAGGTCCCGGTTTTACCGGGATTATACCGGTACTAAACATAGCCTCCGACCTTACATTAAAACAAATGTTTTAATAAAAGCTCCCGACTTCGCAGCAGATTTGGTAATACAAACCGGTTGTTGTTTCATCCACGTTCAAAGTCGCGGAGAGAGTAAAAAACAAAAGTGTTTGCATTAAAAAAAACAATATTTACTTTAACAATGTTTTTTTTGCTTCCAGCCTGTCCCGGTTTAAGGCTTTAATATTATGGTAAGCCTACTTGAAATAATTTTAATCATATTGGTATCACTTTTTGTCTATTTTAGTTTTGTGTCTTAATGTGTGAAAATTGCCTTAAAGCGTATACCAAAAATGGAAGGAAAAATGCATAAAACAAAATCATTGTTATTGTATCATGCATTGTGTTGTTATTATTGGTGCGTATTAACTCTGTATTAAAGTAATAATATCGTGAAATAACAACTGTGCATAACACAATTGATATTTGCTGATGATATAATAAACACTTACTCTATAGCCTTCCACAAGATTTTTTAATTAATCAATCTTATGTCATAGACAAAACGATCCCTTACCGCCAAATTATCGTAAGCGACACTCGCCAAATTATCGTAAGCGACACTTTTGTCGAAATGCGTTTTTTGTGGAAACTAATATTTTAAACCGTAACGGACCCATCTCTGTTGATATTTCCCTCTATACTTCCCTCTATTATATTATTACGGTGTTCTTTTGGAGGGAAATATCAACAGAGATGGGTCCGTTACGGTTTAAAATATTAGTTTCCACAAAAAACGCATTTCGACAAAAGTGTCGCTTACGATAATTTGGCGAATGTCGCTAACGATAATTTGGCGGTAAGGGCTCGAAAATATCCCTAGCCCGCCGGACCATCTGTACCATTAAGTAGTACCTACCATTGATGGTACAAATGGCACTGATCTATCCCATTAGTACCATTAAAAAACATACAAGTATGGCACCTAGCGTTACTTGCGTAATAATTAAAATTGACACTTGCTGAATATTTATTTTACATTTCCAATAATTAATAATTCCGCTAAGCATAATCGGTATCTGTGGTCAGTGGGCGAAGCGTCAGTCACCATAGATAATAGATTAATGAACAAGGAAAAACTTTTTTTATGAATTCTGGCTTTGAACTTATTGTGGATATTGAATTTATGCCTAAAGATGATTCTGGCTTACATAATTATAATAATGCCAAATGATTTTCTGCGAAATTACGTATATGCCAGCCGCTAATATGCATAATAATATTATGTCATTAAAAATTCTACGTTACAAAGAAGACCCGGAAATTTGTTGTGGCTCATTTGTAAAATTGTTTGTACAATGGTACTAATGGGATACATCAGTTCCATTTGTACCATCAATTTTTCCCATCAATGGTACTGCGTAATGGTACAGGTGGTCCGGCGGGTCCCTAGTTCTTTATACAAATACATTTAAATTAATATTACAATTAGAGAACTTACTAACTAAAACTAGACATTGGAAATCACTAGTCACCTTTAACTCACAGAAAAATGGTAAAAAAGTCAATTTTAGACAAGAAAAAATATCTCCAATTTAATACAATTATTGATAACAACTATCGAACCAGCACAATCCAATAAGGTTATAATTGTTCTATGTAAAATAAAAGGTTTTAATACAATAAAGAGTATTTCATTCATTCCATTTTATCAAATACCATAATTTTAAAAAAGCTGTGGGCTGCCAGTACAATCTTTAACGTAAAAAAGCATAACATTTATTACAAATTCAGTTTCTTAACTCTCTTTTTTGGTTTCGGTGAACTCATTAGTATTTCATTCTTAAATTTTATTTCTGGTTCTTCCTTCACAGCAGATGTTCTCTCTAGATTCAATTCAACAATGGCTTCTGATGCTTGAGAGTCCGCTTCAGCTTTAATATTGATTGCAATATCATTATTACTTTCTTGTTTTCTGAAATGATGAAAGCTTTATCGTGTATAACTAATTTAGCCCATGCAAAGTCTAAAGACTTCCTAACCAATGTGCCTGTTGCATCTGCAGTAGCATCCAATATTTTTGAATTAGGCTCCCACCCACTACATAATATGTATTTTCCATTTGCCCATTCTCCCTATTCTATTCATAGGAAAGGCCTTTAACCAGTTTCAATAACATATCCTCAAAAAGAAATAATGGCTGGTTTTAAAATCCTCAGAAATGAGATAAGCCTTTTATAACTAAGTTGCCTATTATGTTAAGTTAATCTTAAAATAACAACTTTTACTAAGAAATATAATCAGAATAAACTTATATTTTTAAGCATTTAACTGCCATATTTAAATCTAAAGAAATTTACTAGAAAAAAATCATTAGAAAAAAAATTAAAAATAAAGCTATTTCTTCTTTCAAATGTTTAATAATTGTAAAGGTATTCATTTGACATTGTGGGTTACCTACAATGCGAAGAGATGGCGCTGCCCTGCAGCCTAATAAATGCTACATAAAATTCGACACGGCCGTCAGGGCCGCGGTTGCATTATGATCAGCGCATTCGCCCGGGATAGCGAAGGGTGCGGGTTTGAGTCCCGTCTGCTGCTTGGTCTGCGTGGATTTTTTTTCTAGTAAATTTTCTTCAGAATATACTTTTTTTTACTAGTGGTCGATTATGAAAATTGGCCATAAATTTCTATATTATCTTATAAAATATTTCAGGAAATAATACATACATATTTTCAAAAGTTTCTGGTAAAATTACTGTTTTCTCCAACACTTCAGTGGGTATTTTCTGAGCCCCAAAGTAATTATTGTACTTATTATATGTGCATAGGAATTCTTCGGCTCTGAATACAACTGTTTCTTCATCTGTAAAAAAATAAGCACCATTTTTTACAATGTAAATACATATATTATTTATTTATTTCATGCTGGAGTGGAAGCAAAAGCAAAGTTACATATTACATCTGCTGTGGATGATTTTATTAATGTCTACATTACATTTTAAAGTTACATTTAGCATTTAATATCTAACTATACAGATTATGATAATCATTTATCAATTATTCTAGGGCTCAAGAAGAGGAAGAACAACATGAAATAAAATGGAAAAGCAATTATGTGCCACAATGCCTGTTTTAGACCAAATCTATACTAATATTATAAAGCTGCAGAGTTTGTTTGTTTGAACGTGCTAATCTCTGGAACTACTGGTCCGATTTGAATGATTCTTTCAGTGTTGGGTAGTCCATTTATCGAGGAATGCTATAGGCTATATTATTATTTTTCAAAATTAGGGATCCGTAATAAAATTGCTATTTTGTAACACAAGGTGTAAAATCTAAAACCTATTTTTGCGTGCGCTGCAAAAACTATTGACAATAGAACAAAATGATGTACTACGGGTTTGTAGATCCCATTAAGACCTACAAAAAAGTCTGCGAGAACATATATCTAGCTATCATGGTTTAATCACAATAACCGTTTTTGTGTTCAAAATAATTATTAAATCGCCTAAAGAAAAAAAAAGTACGTTAAATATGTATCGTGAAATTAAGCATTATGTTATCAAGGGTATTTATGTAGAAGTAAAATACTTTTGTTTCATCTCAATCGGATATTTCGTTTAAAAGTTATTACGAATATTTTATCTCGGTATTTCCACGGAAACGAGAAAAACGCGGGTGAAACCGCGGGGCGCGGCTAGTATTCAATAAACAAGTAGAAATATATCACTTGCTGAGTATATAATTTGTTAGGTTCTTCATTATAATACTATCTTGTACTAGGATACTATTAGAATAATAATAATAATTTAACATTGTATAATAATAGTTAATAATAATAAGTACAAAATAAAGGATGCCTAAACTAGGTTACAGTATTTATTGTACCTGTATTTCAGGCTTCTATTATTTAAATAATACACTTTATGATTAATAAATTAACAACGTAATTAAAACAGAACTTAAAGTAATCCTTGTCCGGGCAGCGAAAGGGCTGACGCTATCTAACTGTGCACTCCCACATGGTGAGAGATTCCTTATGCCCATTTTCTATGACCCTTACACTTCCTTGAAAATCCAACTTATATCCTATACCCTATTCCTGTAACTTCCTCAACTCCTCACAAGGATGCGTGGCCAAGGGGGCGGTTGGTCGCGAACGGTGTCTCCAGTGAAATGGCAATCCTGGAGTAGTAATTTAGCCTTACTCGAGCATGCGGGGCTCTCTTTGAGTGGACCTTTTATTTCCTTAGCTTGTCGTGGGACTTTTATGGAAGATGAAAATAACATAAAACCCAATTTCTCTCTGGGCGACTTAAAACGATCAGAACCAACAAGCAGTCTTACTGCTTCTCTACCCGACTTGTCGATGTTAGCCATTGAAGAATTAAATTTTTCCTTTGAGTTCGATACTAATGCACCTGGACCGTGTCCGGCGTCGAATGCGTGGTCCCGTTTTGCGGGATTGCAATCCCTAATGCCATCATAGAATGTGCAGAAGCTAATCGTCAACGAAACTACACAAACCAGGCTATATATATCTTTTCAGATAGCCAAGCAGCACATAACGCCATTAACTAGAACACGATATGCACGAAATTGATGAAAGACTGTGTTGAGAAACTGAATAACCTGCCCTTAAACAAATCGTGGGTACTACAACAAACACCTTTGTCACGGCTACTACAACAAACACCTTTGTAATATAGGTATTTCTGACAGCCCTCTGTGCAGAGCCTGCCTGGAGGAGGAGACGAGCGCCCATGTTCTGCTGGAGTGCAGAGACGTTGCAAGACAAAGGACTTCTCTAATGGGAAGCCCGCGGACACTAGTAGAGGCCTGCAGCAACATCCAGGGACTGCTGAGCTTTCTGGAGGAGCGGGGATGGCAGGACTAATGCCAATACCCACGCAAAATAGGCACTGGGTGTCGAGTTGCGGAAACAGCCCGCCGTACTACTAAGACTAGCTGAATAACCTGGGTCAAAAGAAGTTATTTTTAAATAGGTCATTCAGAGATAATCGGCAACGAGAAAGCTGATGAATTAGCAAGAGCAGGGGCACAGGGGCAGCAGATAGGAGCAGAACCTTTCTGTGGCATCCCTAGAAACCATGCTATACAAATTCTTAAGGACGACATTCTAAGCGAATCGAAAAAATACTGGTTCAACTAACCAGGATTAGAGCACACTAAATCTATATATATAAAACTCAAAGGTGACTGTCTGACTGACATAGTGATCTATCAACGCACAGCCCAAACCACTGGACGGAACGGGCTGAAATTTGGCATGCAGGTAGATGTTATGACGTAGGCATCCGCTAAGAAAGGATTTTGATCAATTCTACCCCCAAGCGGATAAAAAAGGGAATGAAAATTTGTATGAAACTGTCAATTTTAAACCGATCGGGCTGAGACTTTGCATGCAGGTATAAGAAGAATCATAGATGAATGTCATTGTGTATAATACAAGCCTGAAAACAAAAACTGTAGTCTACACTTCAGCTCTACAACGAAGCGAAGCGAGGGCGGGCCGCTAGTCACTAATAAAGGGTTCCTCGAAAAAACGGACTGTTGAGTTATCTGTCATCTGTGTTATAAATACAAGGTGACCTTGGTGGGAAGTTGGTTTCCATCCGCGTTATGATTTTCGGTTACATTGATGTGTAATCCACACACCAACACGTAGTCGCGAGCCGTCTTCTGGCGTGAAAACACGTATGCACTTGTATCATGCGCGGTCTGTAACATGTATTAGTAGCCGTGTTGTAGAAATGGCTCCAAATTTGTCTAAATTTCAAAATGTGGGCTTTGCCTTAACAGTTTTGTGTGCTGTGTGCAATAAACGACGAAAAACAACAAAAAGGAGAATGTGGATGAAGCGTTGGTTACAACAGCGAATGATTCTCAGCCATTCAAACTTATGTCCAACTCCCTATACTTTTCGAGTAATATCTCCCACGCATTTTTTTTCGACGAGGATCTTTATATGATTCTGACGTAATGTCCCATAAGCATGGGAGATCCCTATAGAGATCAATTAGTTCGCTAATAATATCGCGTTCGCGACTCTGGTCTTCGGACAACATTTTTTACATGCATACGTGCGCACCCGCTGACTGTCACAGCGCAACTGTCTTTGGTTGGATGTAATCCGCCGGCCAAACGGTTGTAATCCACGCGCTCCAATCGCATATGTAAACAAGCGCTCCAACTGCGGATGTAAACACGCGCCCGTAATCCAAGCACGGTAAAGGTCAAATCAAAATTTGTATTACATCCTTCGTCTAGATGGATGGCAACAGGCAAGGTCACCTTGGTTGGTACACTGGATTACATACGCCTGGCATAGGTCTTAATAGAACTTAGCTGGCGGAACTTCCGTGATATTGTCAGAGTTTTAACTAGACACTGCAAACTCAACAGACACAAATTCCATATGAAATTGAGTGACACTAATGTTTGCAGATACTGCAATCAGGTGCGTGAAACACCAAAACACCTTCAATGTGAATGTGGGCCTCTCATCCACAAACTTAGTATTCATTTGGGTCGACATATAATACGCCCTGAGGAAAGCAAACCTCTAAAATCTAGAAACATTTTGAGCTTCTGGGAAGCTGTCGGGCTAAAAGAGACACTTTACCTTGGTGTAGAGTCACAATAGATTTTATAGGTTGCAGTGACTACAGTCCTATTAGAACTGCATAGCCCCAAAATTCAAAAATAATAACAATAATCCTTGTCTGTGTTAGTAAATGTACATCATGGTATTGTACTTTATTTACAAATAAAAAGTAATTCAGTCTGCTTGTATGTCAGGCTGTGCAAATAATTAAATACTATGTTTTTACTTAATATAGTTTAATGCATATAAAATAAATAAATAAATATTTCCAATACTCACACCAATTAGCCTAACCCCAAAGTAAGCACTGTAAGGCTTGTATTATGGGATGCTAGGGTAACAGATAGAATACATATACTGTACATATATAACTATATTTGTAGAGAAATATATATTCAACATCCATGGCTGGAGTACAAATGCTCGTGTTCATCACACAAACATCTGACCGCACTGGGATTCGAACCGGGACTTCTCGAGTCAGCGACACCATGAAACCCGGTGTACAAACCACTCGGCCACGGAGATCGTCAAATATACTTAACACATATATATAACACTCTATTAAATTTATTATACTTATAAGAAAGGGCTTAAGAAATACTATTAATGCATTTAAAATGTAAGGCCATTATATTAGTTAAAAATATTATATTGTCTTACGTGAATGAGTTTGTCCCACAGCCCTTAATTTTAGTATCTCTTTATCTTTTTTCACCAGAAGTCCACATAATTCTGCCTGATTATCCTTTAGTTCTTGAACTGTTTGCAGTATAGGCTGAGTTATCTTCTGAAAGAACTAAATATCTATTTTAATACCTCATTAATTGATTTATTTTATTGAAATAAATAACAAGTTCCCAATTGCTTACCAATTCTTTAGAACCCTCTGCAAGTTGAAAATTCAATTTGAATAAGTATCCAAACTGCTTTGTCATGATAAGGATTAAGATGTTATTTTCTAACTTGGTTTCAGCATTTTTTATATCATTTGGATTTGAAAGTATATCTAAAGCTTTATGTAACATAACATCATCCTTCATTTGTAGAAGCATGTTACTTTCCTAAAAAATCAAAATCGTAATAAACCTTAAAACCTCAAAATAAGTGAACAGAACTTTTAACAACCAACCTTTAAACACTGAAGCAAATCAGATCGAGGGAAAAATGCATACCATAACGATATATAGTCTGTTACAAATATTTCATAATCACTACTATCAGTGTATGACAAATAAAAAGAAGTGTTGAAAATGTTTTTCCACATATTTGTAAAAGTCTAGATTTAATAACAAAAAAAAAACAAAATTTTATATTCCCATTTTATTGTATATTTGTATACACATAATACAAAAGTAATGTATCACAAAATAGAGCATATAATGAAACGAAACCAAAACAAAACACAAAAAAGAGAATTATGAGAGAAATAAATTAATAATTCCATGCACTTCCAAACAAATAGTTTTTTTTTTTGTTGAAGTTCTCCCGTTTTAGAGAAGGCAAAGGGAACAATGCCCATACAGCCTGGTCTTTAATTAATCTTCTTTTTGTTTTTACATTAGAATGTCGGTGTGACGCATTCTAATTTTACTTGGAGTGTTTGGCACGAAATGTATCGAGTTGACTTTTTCGATAAGCTTCTGTGAGGTAGTCAACACTACAATAAAATTCTCACGTCCACTTGACCGGAGTAGCGTATATTTTAACGATTCCACTAATACTTCAGTTACGCAGACGGTTGTTACACAAAACCACACCAATTTTATTTCACAATATCCACTATGAACGAATTTAAGAATAATTAAAATAAGACGCCAACCGCACTCGATGAAATTCCGCCAAAAACCCCCAAACAAATAGTAAACAACTAAACCTACAACCTACTGTCACTTGTATTTTTTATATTCTCCATTTTCAGGAAGGCAAAGGAAATAATGCCCATACAGTCTAATCTTAAGTTTTATTAATCTTCTTTATTTTTACATAAGAATGACGGTGTGGCGCATTCTAATGTTTCTTGGAGTGTTTGGCACGAAATGGATCGAGTCAGCTTATTCGATAAACTTCTGTGAATAAGTTTACAATACAATAAAGTTCTGACAAATAGCGTATATAATGGTAGCTTTCCAATTACAGCATTTTTGCGCATTATGCGGCATAATGCTTAACGTTGAGTGTTCCAACTACAGCAACGCTTCGCACAATTGAGCACTCTCAAAAGCGATGCTTTCGTATGATGCGTGCAATGGTACCAACTTAGAGAAAGAAAATTAACAAGTGTTTTTTCTTTAAGTTGGCATTGATCGAAATGTTTTATTTATATGTTATCGTTAGTAATATTATTTATTGTTGAAAAATTATTAAAGCTTTGGTTTCATTACACAGTTTTTTTTTAAATAATCAAAGTTAATTCAAACTTCTTTAGATTTAAACATCAAGCAGTTACATGCTTTAAAAATAATAAAAATTATAATTAATTCAAACTGTTAAAAAATTAATATATAAGTATGAATGAAGGTACAAACATTGACTTTTTTTTTCAACACTGAACTTAGCGCACTCTAAAACTAATTCACGTTCCAATTAAGCATCAGCATAATTGGGCATTGTGCGGCACTGAGTCGCATTATGCTCTGTAATTGGAAAGCATACTTTAAAGATTCCAGTTATGTATCTTAATGGACGGAGCCCATGGAACGTTCATATAAGTTCCTCGCTCCGAGTACTGAAACATATGGAGACGGCATAGTATTTATATATGAACAATCTGTTAAACAAATATGATTGATATCTGAAATAATAAATAATAATATATTCTTTAGATTCAGAAAACTTTCAATTCAGTTTATTTCGACAGAATGACAAAGTCATAGAAAAAAGACAAAACAAATTAAAATCAAAGACAAATTTCAAACTCCCTATACAACCTACTAACACTGCCCCTTTATGTAGGCATTAATAAAAGTAACAGCCAACTAAAAACATAGAAATTAACATTAAGAGCTAACATTCACAAAATATAAGAAAAAAAATGGGTGCGTGTACTTATGTAGGCGCGTGAGAAGTTATCCTTCTTTGGCATCGTTTAAAATTAGTTTTTAATTGCATGCAAATAATTAATTACAATAAATTAATAAAAAGTCTGGAAAAGGACACAGTCAATAAAGTTCAGTTTTAATTTGAAAAAATAAATAAATAATCAAAATATTCAATTAAAATCGCTACTGAATATAATTTATTAGTACATATGTGATTTGCACTTGTATGAAACTCAAACACGTATTCCGAATATACAAACTAGAAACATGTGGATAAATATTATAAATATGAATACCTATAACTGTTACTTTATTACAAAAAATAAAGATGTGGTTTTTGGTTCTACTACACCAATGGTCAAGAGATAGCGCTGTAGTCTCCTGAATCGCGCTTTGGTTCCGTTGTTCCAGATTAATAAATACTTTTGATAGGCCTTCACAATGCAGTCGTTAGCACCCACTAAATAGAGATTCTATTTCTATTTTGTTGGTAGATTTTCTTAATGTGCGGGTAACAGCATGAAGTTGGTCGCTTTAATTTTTGTGTTACAGTGATGCGCGCGCATCTTAAAATTTCACTCTCATCATTTTTTCATAACGCGCCTAAAGAAGTCAATCAGAAATCAGAAATCAATATATCTTTATTCAAATTGGATGTATAGTACAACACTTTTGAATCGTCCAAACATTTTTTTCCCTACCACTCGTTATTGGACATATTTTTTAGCTGCGGAGAAAAACGAGCGAAAAAAACTCCACAACATTAAAAGCATAATGTAACAACATTTACAAATCGTTGTTACAACGTCAATACAATCATGATTTATTTAATATAGAAAACCTGTTGGAATGATTGGAACAGTTCAAACCCAAGCATTTTTGTCTGTAATATAATCAGACACTTTGTAATAAGCTTTTTTAATAAGTGCTTTTTTTATACTATCTTTGAATTTATTTATGCTTAACTCTTGGATATTGCTTGGGACTTTATTGTATAAGCGAACACAAAGATCTTTAAATGAATTATTGATTTTGTGAAGCCTAGTAGCAGGTAAAGTTAGTTTATTTTTGTTTCTTGTATTAAGTGTGTGAACATCACTGTTTTTAAGAAACAAATTAATATTTTTTCTTACAAGTAATAAATTTTCGTAAATGTATTGTGATGCGACCGTCATTATACCAAATTATTTAAACCTATCTCTTAAGGAATCCATAACTTTAAGATTATAAATTGATCGAATAGCTCTCTTCTGCAGCACAAAAATAGTTAGAATGTCGGCGGCGTTTCTCCACAATAAAATTCCGTACGACATTACACTATGGAAATAACTAAAGTATACTAATCTGGCCGTATCTACATCCGTTAACTGGCGTATCTTCATTACGGCATATGCTGCAGAACTAAGTCTATTTGACAATTTATCAATATTTGGGCCCCATTGAAGCTTAGAATCTAAAGTAATCCCTAAGAATACTGTGGTGTCTACAAGGCCCATATTCCTATCCTTTACATTCACACTGGTTTTTACCTGTTTTACATTAGGTAATACAAATTTAATACATTTCGTTTTTCCTTCATTTAGTAATAAATTATTAACATTAAACCAGTGGACTACCTTAGAGATACAACTGTTCACGTCGTCAATAACTGTTTCCTTACGTTTGAGTTTAAATAAAAGTGATGTATCATCCGCGAACAATACTATCTCATGCTTATCTCTAACGTAGTAAGGTAAGTCATTAATATAAATTAAAAATAAGAAAGGACCAAGGATTGAGCCCTGCGGAACACCCATTTTAACCGGCGAACCCGCAGACTTATTGCCGTTAATGTCTACCCTCTGAATCCTATCCATCAGGTATGACGCAATAAGATCCAGATCAGTATCTCTAAATCCATAGTGGTGGAGTTTCCTGAGTAATGTTTCATGAAAAACGCAATCAAAAGCCTTGGACAAGGCGCAAAACACACCTAGAGCGTCCTGCGAGTTCTCCCAGGCGTCAAAAATTTGTTGTATAAGTTCAACACCGGCATCGGTTGTTGAACGACCCCGTGTAAAACCAAATTGTTTACAGTGAAGTATATTATATTTATTAAAATGTGATTGCATATGATCTAACATGATTTTTTCGAAAATTTTACTAAAGGTGGGTAGCACAGAAATTGGTCTAAAGTTTGTGGGGTCTGATGTACTTCCCGTTTTATGCAAACGAGTTATTTTACTGTATTTCATGAGGTCAGGAAAAACACCACAGTCAACACAATCATTAAATATGCAAGCTAGAATAGGAGCTATTGTCTCAATTACCGATTCAGAAACATCAACGGAATTGCCCCACAGATCCGTGGTTTTCTTTTTATTTAATTGGTGAAACGTTTTAATTACATCTTTGAAGTCAACATGTTTAAAATGAAAATGACTAGTACAAGGTTTCACGTTTTCTCTTAAGATTGATTCGGCAGCAATGGGGGAAGAGTTCAAAGATTTAGTAGTTGAAACTGGAATATCAGTAAAGAAATTTTCGCAAGCTGTAGCAACTTCAATATCTGAAGTAACCCTTTTATTATCAATATTTAAGTTATAATTATTATTGCGAGTTTTGAATTTTCCAGTTTCATCGTTTATAATATTCCATGTCGTTTTAATTTTGTCATTACTGTTTTTAATCTTTGAACTTAAGTAATTTGATTTTGCTAAGCGGCATACTTTTTTAAACAATTTAGAATAGTTACGAACATGCTCTTTAAATTTTTCACTAGTGTTACAGTTTCTTTCATTATAAAGTTCATAAAGTGTCCTTCTACTTTTATGAATTCCAGGCGTAGCCCACGGAGTAAAAGTTACCGCATCATTAACACAGATTTTTTTGGATACAAAAACATTATTAAATTCAGTGCAGTATATATTAAAAAAATCATTATATAAATCATTTGGACTGTCTTTATATTTTAGATAACACATTTTTCTATCTAATTGAGTTTTAAAACGTTCCACACGATTAGCAGATTTTGGTACAACAGTGATGTGTTTTTTTGTCACCTGCTTGAGCTGATATGGAAATGTAATCAACTGGCCACAATGATCACTATCTAGTTTATTAATAATTTGTTTTTTCTGCGGTATGATATCTGTATATATATTATCAATACAAGTGACCGAAGTGGCAGCTGTTCTAGTAGGCTCAATGAATAAGTTTTTCAGATTGTATGATTGAAATATTTTTTTTATTTTAGTACTCGAACTAGATTTTTGTAATAAATCAATATTGAAGTCACCACAGACAATCAACCGTTTGCCTGTAGTGTAAGTTTTCTTAAGAGCTTCATCCATGATAGCTTCAAAACAATCATACAATGCTGCTGGAGGTCTGTATACGCTCAATACAACAAGCCGGTCCAGTTCCACACAGGCAATTTCTATTGTTCGCTCAACCGAGAGGCTCACAA